GATATATATTATTTTTTGTTGTTATTCAAGTACAGTTGTCTCCATTTCCCCCACCACTCCCCCAACCCCAGGCACCCCCACTTCCCACCCTCAATCCTACCCCCCTTTGGTTTTGTCCTTGTGTCCTTTATATATGTTTCTGAAAACCCTTCCCCCTTCCCCCCATTATCCCCTCCCACCTTCCCTCTGGTTACTGTCAGTTTGTTCTTAATATCACAGTCTTTGGTGATATTTTGTTTGCTTGTTTGTGTTCCTGATTAGGTTCCACTTATAGGTGAAACCATATGTTATTTGTCTTTTACCACCTGGCTTATTTCACTTAGCATAATGCTCTCAGATCCATCCATGCTGTCACAAAGGGTAGGAGTTCCTTCTTTCTTTCTGCTGCATAGTATTCCATCGTGTAAATGTACCGCAGTTTTTGGATCCATTTCCTATCATCCCAGTGCTGGAACCAGGGGCTGTGTGGTCTGGCTTGGGATCACTCTCTCCCAAGGTATCCCTCCTGCCCATTCCACCACCACCACCACCACCACCACCACCACCTTTGCATACCACACCACCTGTCCACCTATCTCCATGACTCCACCCCTCCTACCTGCCTAAATAAATATGCCTTCTTTAAATCCTTGGTTGTCAGACTTCCATACAGCTTGATACTCTGACTGTTCTGGGTGTTATTAGTTTTGAGATCTGGTTGTAATTCTTTCTTGGTTGTGTAAGGAGGCAAAGTGTGTCTACCTAAGCCTCTATCTTGACTGATAGTCCTAAAGCCTAAAGTTTTATAAAATGTGAGCCACAAACTACTAAAGGTACATATATCTCTCCAAAGCATAAATCACTAAAAAACCCACAAAAACGTTTAGAAATATAATAGGAAATCAGACATTTTCCCACAATTTTTTGTCTGAGTTGACAAACCTCCATTAAGACCTCTGTAATTTTTAGAACAAGCCAGGTTGCTCTGAGTGCAAACAATGAGTAATTCTCTAATCAAAGATATGTTAAGATCTTTGATTGGCTAGCCTATTAAATAAAAATATTTAATCAAAATTAATGATTGATTATTCTTTAAACAGTAAATGTGAGGGTGTCACATTTAGCTGGACCAGTGACCCTTTCCTTCTCACTGTTCCCCAAGGTATGCTTGCAAAGGTGTGCTTTTAGAGAGAGCCACTTTCCCAGAGGGAGCAGCACTATGCAGGGATGCACTTCACAAATTGTTTTAAGTAAACATTATAAAAGAAGAGATTGACCAGATGCTAAGGAATGGAAAAAACCGTCTACCTGGAAATCATGTGACTTGGCACACTGTTAGTTTTTAGAATAATTATAACACTAGTCCCTTGCTCTTTGCCTCAGGTTAATCATCTGTAAAATGGGAATTTTGAATTTTCCTTAAAGAGACCCTGAGATATTTTAAAGTTTAAAAACAAAATAAAACTGAGGAGGCTTTGAATCCGACAGAGCAACAAGGACTGATACTAGAGAGTGTACTATGAGCATCGACAGATGGCACTCTCTGTTAGTTTCAGTAAGACCAGCAGCTAATAGTTGTGCTATTTTGTAAGGAAGTAGGTCAGCAGGAAGCACCAAGCTACAGAAAAAAAAAACACTAGCATGTGTGTGATGATCAATTCTTTGAATTATTCATTTTCTTCATTGATTGCTTAATTGACTAATACAGGTACAAATATCCAAAATGCCCTCCAGAACTTGAGATATTAAGACAACAGCAAGTCTCTCTGACTTGAAAGGATCTGTCTGGTTTAAACAACCCAGGATGAAGTTTTTTCCAACTCCTCACCCAAATTTGTTTAAAGTTAAAGGAAAAGGTGAATACAATGCAAGGAAACTAAGACTCTCAGGCAAATCTGTGCCAGAATCTGGGAGGGATCCCCCAGGGATGTCAAACAACTGATCAGAGAGAGGAACAACCCTAATAGCGGGACATGCTGGAAATTTTAGCTTTTCAGGTACAATAACTTTCTGGATTTAGGAAGAAGACTTCATCATAAGTCAACAGAATTCTCAATTAGAACATATGGTAATAATTGCTCTAAGAGATGGAATATAAGCCTAACAGTGGGAAAATACTGATGCTAGTCTCCTGACATGCCATTTGCATAGAAAAGTATGGTAATTTATTTAAGTATGAATAGAGACAAAAAAAATCCCAAAGCCACAATAAATTGAAAATGGTATAACTGAAGCAAAAGGAAAAGGTACATAATGTACATGTATGAGTATGTATATAATTTATATCTCTTAAGTTACTTTAACTACTTTAGAATGATGTTTGTTATCTTTCATAAGATGCAAGAAAATATTTTGTCTATTAAATAGGGGCAGAAAGTTATAAGGAGGATCAAAGGAAACAAAATATGATAAAAACGTGAGAGACATGAGTAACAAACTAAAGGCATAGAAGAAAACCTAAAAATGCAAATGTAATTCAGAAATTCCACTCATAGACATGTACCTAACCATAGAGAGACTCTTATTAGGGTACCAGAAGTTCTATATGTGAATGTTTATCATATAGTATTTGGTAATAGCAAAAATCTGACAACAATCCTAATGTTTATCAAGGGAATAATGAATAGGTATACTTTTGAATATTTAAAATATTCAATAGTTAAATTAAACCCACAGCAAAAGCAATAAAACCCATAAGTTTTATTATGAAAAATCAAACCAGGGATCTTAAGGACAAATTTGAAGAGTTTTCTTAGAAAGCAGAGGAAAGTAATGAAACAATGAAAATGCTAAGAAAGGAGTTGGTATTAACAGAAGACAAAGAACTGAAACTCACCCCAGAAGTTATAAGTAATCTCAAGAAAAAAGAAAAAAACAATTCGAGTAGATGTGATCATGAAAGAAACCCAAGAGGGGAGAAATTCAAATCTTTACATGAATAAAAACAGTAAAAGATTTTAATATTAAGATCAAAATTATTCGCCATATTCAAGGCAAATACTCACTGAAAAAATGAAACAGAACCACATTGAGTTACATTTTGGAAAAAACTTCAAATTCAAACATTAAGAAAGTTTATTTTAAGTATCCAGGAAGAAAGAAAATTAATGACTTCTAATAAAATTGAACCACATGCTACTTATGACCTTTTCTACAAACAAAATAATGGAAATCAGTGAAACAACATCTAAGGAAAAAATTGTGAGGGTCAAAGTTTTAAGACTTGTGTTCCCAGAGAATATAATCTTCAGGTATGAAGGAAAAAGAGAAATATTCTTAGGTTTGCAAGAACTTAGAAAATAAGTATCTATGTGTGATTCTAGAAAGTTAAAGTTGTAGTCTTATTGACAAAAAGATGAATCCTACAAAAGACTTCAAGAAAAGGAAGACACAGAATACGTCAAATCAGTTCAACAGAAAGGTAATCAGAAGAACTATTGCTAATATTGTTACAAAATAGAAAATAAACATACTGAGTAAAAATTTAATTTAATGATAATTGTCTGGGTCTAATCTTGTAGGTTATAGCGAGGGAAACACAGAAGTGAGATAAAGACAAGCTACAAAGGAAACTAATCTAAATGTCTCCTTTTGTATAAAGGGGACAAAAATCTATCTTTTAATTTTTAAATTTTATTTCTAATTTTTTTTTATTTTCAGAGAGAGGGGAAGGGAGGGAGAAAAAGAGGGACAGAATTTTGATGTGAGAGAGAAACATTGATTGGTTGCCTCTGTCCACACTTCAACTGAGAACAAACCTGCAACCCTGTCCTGTGCCCTGACCAGGAAATTGAACAGGCAACCGTTTAATTTGCTGGATGATGCCCAACCAACAGATGTAGTCCCTGCCACATCAGCAGGGACTATATTTTTTTTCTTTTTTAATCATCCTGATTATTTAAAATATGAGTTAAAGTACAATTTTGAAAAGTCCAAAGGTAATTTCTATACAATTAATAAGCAAACACTAGAGAGTGTAGAAGTGTATGACTAGCAACATTAAAAAGAAAACATGAGAAATAAAGATAAAAGAAATGAGTAAACATATCATTTTAAAAAATGATTTCAATAATTGAAAAATACCTCCTAGAAGGTGAAAACAATTCATATCCACCTTAAAAACATAGAACTTCATGATACTTGTGAAACTGTAATAAAAAAACTGATACAAAGTAAAAATAAAAGAATGGGCAAATATTCATTGGATATTCACAAAACAGGAAATACTAATTTCAGAAAGGGCAAAAGATATTAATGGTGACTAAAGAGTCATTACATACGAACAAAGATATATCACAAGGAAAATAATAGTCATTCAATTTATATTTCATATATATAAAGCAAGGAAAAACTATACATTAAAGAAAAGGTTAAATTACTCAATTTCAAGTACTTGTGTCTTAAAGGCTATATTTTTACATATCAAATTAGCACAACTTAATTCTAAAGACAAGAATTGTTGGATGTGAGATTAGAAATTGGAATGGCTTTTCTGGAAGACAAGTTTGATGATTTATATCAAGAATTAATACTCTTAGATTGAATAACTCTACTTTTATCCATTCATCTTCCAAAAATCATTAGGGGACGTTTGAGGGTAGAGACATTCATTACCAGATTATATCCGTATTAGTTGAATTTAGTGTTAATCACCCAAGATGTCACAAAATACCCAAGATCAGTTGTGAGGGGTGTTAAGAGTAATTTGTTATTATTGATAGTAAAAGTACTAAACTCTAAACACTATTTAATAAATTAGAGTACAGTCCAGTCTCTGTAATGAGTACAGCCTCTATAATGTTAGTTACTCTTACTCATATAATAATAAGTGATGTGAGTGGGAAAGAAGGGAACTGAGCAGTGACATATGCCCAGGGGAATCTGCATAAGCCAGAGCCTTTGTTATCTATGTGTACATCAGAACTCATTGATTTCTGAACAATCCTAGATCTATGTGTGTCACAGAGAAGAAAAAAATTCACCACTTATAAGATTGAGTTAGGTATGGCTATTTAAGAACCATGATACAGACATACATTGTATTTTGGAAGAAGTTTGATGAGATGGGTAAATGCTCACTGCAGAAGGCAGGACTGGGTGCACTGTGACCCTCACTTTATGGAGGAACTGGAAGGAAGTCGGCCTGTGTTGGAAGTGGTGGTCTCACAGAGCATTGTTTCTTTTTATATGTCCCTGAATTTTCCAAATGTTAAGTAGTATTTTATGATCAGAAAAAAAAATCATTCACCAAAAAATATTGTAAAATATGAAGAAGAACAGAATGTTTACAAAGTAATTCTGTAATCCTATAATCCTCTTTCCTTCCTGATCACTATACCAATTAAAACATGTACCAAATATTTACAGAAGGGGATTTATGCCTTTCTGATTAAAGTCATAGAATCAGTTCTATTGCGCCCTAAAACAAAAGGCTTTGCCAACATAAATCACCTTGATCCTCAGCATGTCTTCATCCAACCTACCAAAGATAATTTTGTAGCTCCTTAAGCATTACACATTTAATTAAAATCTAAAACAAAATACAATCATGACATCCCATTTCATCCTTCATGAAAATATGCCCTGTTTTTTGAGGAAAGGAGTAATAAAGACCAAATGGGCATGCTTTAGTTAACAGTCTTGATCCTTATTTATAGGGAACTAAGTTAATGCCCTCTCTAGGGAGAATGAAAAGGCATGCAGTGACCTTCATTGAACTTCATACACTAACCAACTGAAAGTATATTTTAAGATGCCCTGAAATAAAATGCTTCAGGGTTGTGAGGTTAACACAATACAAAGTGCTGCCAAACATCCTGTTGTTGTCATTGTGTTTTCTGAACCCAAGAATCTTCCTGTGAGAACCCAAGTCTCACACTGGGTTCTGGGATGTGGGGAGGAAGGTTTCTGCTCCATACCCATGCATCTTGTACCAGAACTGCCTTTCCAATAGCCCATGATTCTGAAGGGCACATAAAACATTGTCATAAGTGTATTTTGTGTTTTCATTATTTCTTGGGAGAACAGCAGTCATTATTAATGTATGTTCTTGACATATCATTGGATTCACTTTCCCAACCATTTTGAATTACTACCTAAAATAGTCTTTGAGGAATGCTTAAAAAACAGCCATTCTTGACTAACTTGCCAAAGCACATTTTTTTTCCATGAGTTGTAGTATTCCAGTTCTGCTCTCCCAACCACTGTGAATAGCTACCTTAGGTTTCTTAACTTTTAGATATTATTTTATAACACAAAAATGTACTGGAAATGTTTCTACTTTTGATTTTTTGTGGAGGGAAATATCACTTCTATTTTCCATTGCTTGAAAAAAAACATAAGAATTATTTTCTTTTTGTAAGTTTTGATATTGATGATACCATTTTGTTTATTTATAAATAAAAAGATGTCTAAAGCAGGCCTCCTTAACCTGTACACTAGTGACATTTCAGGGTGATAATTCCTTGTAGGGGGGATCTATCTTGTATACTGTAGCATGTATAGCAGCGTTCCTGGCCTCTGCTCACCAGATGCCATTAGCATCCCCACCTGTCCGGTTGTGACAACCACAAATGTCTCCAGACTTTGCCAAATGTCCCCTGGGGGGCACAATGTCTTCTAGTTGAGAACTCTGTTCTAAATTATATCATTTACGGAGAGCAAGAGACTTTATCTACCACAAAGTCTTCAAAAAGTCAAAATTCCTGTCTTTCAAATGTTGGGACTGCTTGCTACTCTAGTCTTTTACTAGTAGTCCTTAAATATCCTACCTAAAATGAACTAATGAGCAACTAAGGTTTTTCATATCCTTCAAAGTAAAACAGCTGACAAAAAAACTGGAATTAGATATTAGAGGTAACCACCACACTGAAAATTTATTTCACTTCTTTTTACATGATTCCCTTGCTTTTACTTGGTCATGAAAACCATCTAAATTATTTTACCACAATCAACATTAAAACTTTTGATTCAAAAGTCCAAGTAAAGACATTTTCAATAAGAAGCAGATTCACCTAATGCGCACACTTCTCTTTTTGTTCAGAAACTTGGCAAGTAATTCAGCAATGAAGTGAGTTTCTGTATGTTATATGCCTTTTAAAAAAAAAACTTTTTAGCCCTGGCTGGCATAGCTCAGTGGATTGAGCGTGGTCTGCGAACCAAAGTATCACAGGTTCGATTCCCAGCCAGGGCACATGCCTGGGTTGCAGGCCACAGCCCCCAGCAACAGCACATTGATGTTTCTCTCTCTCTCTCTTTCTCCCTCCCTTTCCTCTCTACAAATAAATAAATAAAATCTTTAAAAAAAGACTTTTTATAATTTTAACTGTAACATATTTATTGTAAAAATTTTAAAAAATATATAAAAGTATATGGGTCACCATAATCCTACTACACAGAAATAAACACATTTAGGTGTTGATCTTTCTAGATTTTATTCCATTCATATATAGCATATATGTGCTTAACAGATCACAATTTATATTCTACCTTATGTGAATTAAACATAATGTTTGCTGGACAATAAGGGCAATATTTTTTTATGATAAATATACTTAGCTTTTTTAAATAATTATTTTTATAGCAGTAAAGCACACAATGTTGGGTTATCTAAGCAATAATATCCACTTGTACAATTTTCCTTTGTGTTTCTCTAACCCACAGGCTTTAGTAATAACAAAAGTGGGCACTTAAATAAAATTACAGTTTGTCTTTCCCTGCTTTTGTTCATTCTATGGTATGTATCATCTAGCTAGATAGCCAAAATCCTAACAATTTTTCTGAGAATTCTGGGGGAAGAAAAAGATGGTCTTATATTTTCATGGTCATCTCTGCTCCATATAGATCCATTGGAATAAAAGAAGGCCACTTATGTGCTCAGAAGATGTCTTGGAACATTTGCCCTTGAACCTTAGAAATCCTCTCTCCACATCCTTTCTATCCCCTCATTCAGGATATCGTCAGAAACTGTTTTATATCCTTTGTAGTTCCCATCTCACACCAGGTCCCTGCTTCTCTGTATACTTTTTCTTCTCTCAGGAGCAAGGGAAATTCTGTTTTCTACCCAGAGTTTTTTATCCACCACCTTGTTTGCCTGCATCCCCTCTAAGTCAATAGAACCCCTGAGAAAGTTGAAGAACCATGTAATTGATTATTTTAGGATTTCCACCTAGAAAGGTCCTGGTAACCCACTAGCCTAACTCTCCAATACAAAAAAGTAATTGAGAAAATATCAGATTATTCTACTGTTATATAAGGATGAGTTCAAAGGATGAATCAAAGTAGCTAAGAGAACACTTGTGAATAATTAGGAGACCTGAACCCAGCATTATGCAAATGGGTAATAGAGGACTCATCTCAATCACTGTGTCTCCTGTCCATTCTCTATAATATGGGAATAGAAACTATACTAATAAGCACATTGACAAAGCATGCTCTAACAAACTGGCTGCTTCTACCCTCAAAACAATACAGCAAGAGAGATGCAGCATCTGTAATTATGATCATCCTCATTTATAGGCCCAGAGGAATTAGTGACCTGGTTGAGTCCCATAAAGTAACCGAGCTTAAAAATGTCTTTGAATCCCAATACTGCACAAGACTGCCTTCTTATAATCTGGAGGGAAATGATGAAGATCTAATGACATTACATATGTAAAGGTTCTTTCCAAATTAAAAAAAAAGTGAATGAAAATCCAGCACTTATTACCATAGTTATTTTCAGACAAGTTTGGAGAGATGCCATGTACATGAGAATGCTTTGGTTAAAATTCAGGTAGTTTCCACAGATATCCTCTCCAAATGGCACTGCGTATCACAAAATAAAACTTTACATAATGGGACTAAAACATTATACTCTGACAGTCATTTTTACTTTCACTATATTCTTTAACTTTTCTGGACTTTCTTTTTAGATTAATCCTGAGCCTTACCAACTGGCAGCCGATCCAAATGTTTGGTGATCCGATCATTAATGGGGCCTCGTCCCTCGCACTCACACATGCATACACATGCACACAGGCATGCACACCTTTTCTTCCTCCACAGTTCCTGGTAATGATTTTTTCCCTTGTCTTTGAATATTTACAATGCAGACTGGAAGTTCAGGAGATTGATTTCCATCTTAACCAAGATAAACTGATTCTAAGAGACCCTCTGGGGCCTTTCACAGTGGCCCCAACATGTTCCTTCAGTGGCACAGAAAATTAACAATGAATTATATCTGAAAAATATGGAAGCCCCAAAGCTCAAAAATGTTAACTACTCAAATATTTTATGTTCTAGACTTCTAATTTCTTCTGTAAATTTCCACAGAATCTTCTTTCCATAAATTTCATTCATTTCTCAAGCTATAAAGCTTACAATTGAACACATTTTCTATTGAGTTTTCCTGTGTGCTGAGTCAAACAGTTTCAAATGAAACAATTATTTCATCAAAAATAGGCATTTAACAAACACCCTCTTAGTACCCAGTCTGTACTAGAATCTGTGGGATCCAAAGGCACAGTTGTTCTCAAGCACAGAAAAGTAATCTACTACATTATGAATTGTTTGTGAAGGAAATAAAATGATTGAACTATACATTTCATTATATTTGGTGGCTTTCTGAAAACCACCGTATATATTCCTGACTAATGTTTGCATTTCAGCACACTGAAGTCCCAAACCTCCTTTTACCTTATCTAAATATTACATTGTGGTTTCCCAACATATTTAACACCCTACTTTTATATTTTTAACAAATTTCATGCTAAAACTGTTTTGTGTTATTGAAAAAATTCATCAAAACAATATCCACACGTGGTTTAAAATGACTACAATCCTTCTCATACCCAATTGGAACACCAGCCCCTACCCCAAAGGAAAATTCTTTCAATCGTGTATGCTTTTAGAAAACTAAATAATGTATATAGTTTTATTTTAAAAAATATGAAATTTAAATAATGAAATAACTAACTTTTATATGTCCTTATCTACCTATCTCTATGTGCTTGACCCTTAGATATGGAAAATGAGGTTTTAGTTCCTTTCCTGTAGTTCTTTTCTCAATCCTCTGTAATTTTGATAATTCTATTATTATTTTAAGTTAGGTTGGTTGTAATTTAGAAACATCTGATTTCACTTGTTTCTCATCCAATACATGTGAGTCAGTTTCTTGACACCCCTCTAGCAGGAATAAGGCTCTTAATGCCTCATCTTCTACTTTTACTTCCTTCTGTCATCTTCCACCCTCTTTGGGTTTTTTTTTTGTTTTTGTTTTTTTTTTTTACATTTCCTTTTACTTTGTCAAGGTTGTAAACTGAACTACTAATTATATGAGTTAATACATTTTTTTTTATATTTAAGTCAGGTTAAGTTGAATTTTTGATACTTAAACCCTCCTAACCTCATTGGGCACCTGCTTCATGCTGCCCTGCTGGCCAGGAAAGGAGATGCTGCCATCTACTTTGTGTTCATGACTATATTTTAAAAGGATGAATGGTTTTTAAACTGTTAGCTATAGTTAATTAAAATGTATCTCATAAAAATAAAATGATAGGATGAAGTTCTAAGACAATAACTTACTCAGGAAAAGACTTAAAAATAAACCATTGTAGAATATTATTTGAAAACAGGGGACACATTGTTTATTTTCTAAAAGAAGCTACTAAAATTGAAGGAAATAGATGTGTAGTAATCCTAGTGAAAAGAGTTACTGCATTTGAAACATATTCTAGGGGTTATTTCTTAACTATAAAGGCTACTGATGGATAACACAGGAAGTGACCATGATTTAAGCATAATTTATAATATGTATTTCAGTTCAAATTTAAATCAAATATTCTATTTTTTTAGTGAAACTCCTGATTTTGCAGAAAACATTCATAAATGTATGTTTCCCATAACTTTAACTTTAAAAACATAAATGTAATAAATTTTTCCCATCTCATACCTCTACATTTTTCTGCCTCTTTGGAAAAAAAGTTTTGAGACACCTGGCGAATCAGATTCCTCTTCCTCTGTGAAGAAAAACCATAGCAATATCCTTCCTGTTGTCCTCACTATACATTCTACTTAAGTTATGCTCAGTTCATTATAACCAGGATTTATTTGTGGCTCAAAATATGTTATTCATGCATTTATACTTCACCTTATTTCAGAAAGTATTTTAGATATAGCTTAAATAAAATGCACACATATAAACATAAGTGGTATATAAAATAATAAACCAAGACAAGGTAAATATTTTAATAAAAAAGTCACAATGAGGCAGTCCACAATATCTTCCTTAACTGAACTATAAATTTAGTTCAGAGCTGCCTAATAGTGGAAGTAAAAAGGAGACATTAAAAAGATGTCTATTCAGGAGAAACAAAGTTTCTCCTAATATTGATCCCTAAAAAAATTTTCCGTGGGACTACGATCCAAGATAAAATGAGAAGGGAAGTCTAGTGTGCCCCTCATCAGTTTTTTTTGGGATTTTCTCTCTGTTCTTTCACATGGATATGAAAGATTCTTGCCACAAATACACCACAGGGAGGAAACTCCATAGTCAGATTCAAAAAATCAAAAAATATAAGTCTTATAAAAGGAGAGTTTAAAAAATCTGACATTGTAGTTCACAAAAGAAATTTTCCCTCATCTACTTCAGAAATAGAAAAGAAAATGAGGGACTTATTTTTCTATTCTCTCTAATGGATATCATTTCAGTATTCTAAATACCATCATTTCAAATGAATGAATCGGATTCAGTAAATGGGAGAGAAATCACATGGGAAGTTTGATTTGTCCAAGACACACAAAAATTCAGAGGCATATCAATGATCAAAATCTAGATTATGTGAATCCAGTTGCAAAATCATTGATGAAGAAATCTTATGACAGTAGTTTAAATGTAAAAACTAAGAGAAAACAATGTTGTCATTAGTCAGACCACATGATTCAACTTATAAAAGACTTATGTCTGTGTATCAGACAATTATGTTTACATATGCCAAAACTACCCTCAAGTCACAGTTTCTCTAGTAAACATTTAAATGTGTTAAAACTGATAGCTCTCTCGTAGAGAGCTCTTTGATAATGCACAACTAATGAAGAAATCATTGATGAGAAACCTTGAAAATATCACTTAGTGAATGAAACATCACCACAGTGGAGTCACCTATATTATCCAGACAAATGATAAAACATTCATTCCCTGAAATAAATGGGTGTGGGCATGTCAATGAACCAAATACCGGTTTTGACCTAAATATATTTAATGTCATGCATATTGGATTCATAAAAATCATTTCTTCCACAATTTTCACTCAGAAAAGAAAATCTGTGCAGTTAATTAGTTGAAAATAACAACTGCTGGTTCAATTAAATTTGGCAAATTTCACATTCTAGTGTTACCATATGTACATTTGTTTGACGTAATAATTAAACTTCTGTACTAGACTGCATATTTTGGAACAAAGTAAACAAATTATATTATGGCACATGGAAGTATCTTTAAAAATACACACTTGCGATTTCTCTTTGAAAATTAAATACAAATACCTTAAACAAATCCCTGATAAATGGCTGCCAAATTACTTGATTATCTGAGTATAAATCTGACCCAACCATTAACAACTTCCATGTGAAACTATGCATATTGGTAGTCATAGACTATGTTAATTAAATTTCTCCTCTAACATCTGCATGAAAGAGAGAGGGAGGGAGGGAGGGAAAGAGAGAAAGGGAAAAAACTATAAGTATTTCTTTGCTCTAAAAATGAGAAGCAGGAGTTCCATTTACATTTAGTTTAAGAGCAAACTTTCAGATTGAAAAAATATATATATGCACTCAGGAAATATTGAAAGACTGCTAGTGGGCAAGTATCTTGTTACTTGACTGTAGGAAAGCAAAGAAGGGGAATAATACATTTAAGCCTACTGTGCACTTGGCACAACACTTACAGCGAACAAATTCTTTACCATCACTATCTTGTCTGGATTTCACAGCACTGAGATGAGGCAGACAGTCTGGAATACTGTCCTTTCATAACAGAGTTAGTGTTAAGACATTTGCTCAAGGTCAATCCAGAGTCCTTTGACAAAACTTAGTCTTGGGGTCTATGTTATCCCTTGAAACTAATTTGATAAGAAGTGGTGAGTATCAATTGTAAAAGCAAAACGGTAATACAAGCCATTATTTTCTTGGTTGCTTTTTCTATTATTATTATTATTATTATTATTATTAATTCTACATACAGGTCATCTTTTTAAAAATATGGTCACCAAAATAATTTGTCATATGTGTACAAAAATGTTTTAATTCATTTATCTCAGAAAAAATAAACTGATGTGACAGTTATTTGAAATACAAATGTGATTTGATTTTAACATATGCAAATTATGTTAAAATTTTCACCAATAACTACAAATATTGTTTTCTTCAAAGTGTAGTCCACTTTCAGTAAAAAGCTCAATAAAGTTTACCAACAATATGACCAACAATAAATGAGTGATCCTATTCATATCAAATAAACAACTATAGAGTGCCTATTACTTTCAAGGTACTGTGATTAAGACCTGGAGTCTCTTATCGCCAGTGGTGTAATCAAGTCCTCCCTCTCTCGCGCTCTCTGAGCTATTTCATCCAACCTCTATTTAAAATAGTGTGTGACTGTATTGCAGGAATAAAGTTCAGAACAAAAACGACTTGAATACAAAACTCCTATATTTTCATTCTTGAATGAAATAGGAAAGAAAAAACGTTGGCAGTGCCATGACCTCCTGCGTTTTAGAGAAGAATAGAGAACTGTTTTAGATACGTGGTGTTCTAGCAAATTTATTAAGAATACAAATGCTCAGGACGGCGGATGTACCAATCTGAGCACAGCCTAGTCAGTCACTTGAACGCAATATTCTAAAAGGAAAGTCTTTAACTCCGACAGTTAATACTGCTACAATGTATTTGTACAGCTTTCCTTCACCCTTGAACTTTCGCAGTGGAGTTTAAATTCAGGTAGGGATTTAGAAGACCTACCAAAGAAGTCCAGTGTTCCCATTTTCGTCCACGCCCTATATTATAATATAGTAATTTAAGCATCGGAATTCCCTCGATAGACTCTCACTTTGTGACACAGGTCAACAGCAGACTTGACTTGCTCTAGGCGCCGGGATCCGGGTCCCACCGCAGGCTCTGCGCGGTTTGTTCCCAGTGAATCGGGGCGGGGTGTGTTGCCGGAGTCGCCTTTTATTGGCTACACTCTTGGGGACTGGCCGCGCTTTCCGACACTTGATTGGACGGAGCTGCCCCTGTAGGCCGAGACCATTGGAGGCTGCTGGAGGCAGGGGGCGGAGCGGGTTCTCCAGGAGTCCTGACCGAAAGCGCTCGGCTGCGGAGCTGGGCGCTGGGCGCCGGGCGCCGGACACCGGGCCGGAGCTGGGCGTGCGGGCGTGCGGACGGCCGCGGAAGGAGGACAGGAGGGTCCCGGCTCGGAAAGAGTCTCGAAGGGGGCGTATGGTGCGGAGGCTGCTACCTGGCCGGGTCTCCCGTGGGCAGTCCCAGTTTTCCCTTGGCGTTGGCCGCTGGGAGCCAGCATCTGTCAACGCTCGCTCCTCCTCTCCCCTCCTCCTTCGGTTGGGCCGGGCTGTGCTGGTGGGGGACGCGGGACCGGCGTGGCGAGCCCATCAGCTGTCAGGCGGGTGACGGAGCGACCGACGGAGGCGGTAGACACACAAAGAACGCTGTGAGCGGCGGCAGCGAAAGGGGGCGGCAATTTCGGGACAGCAACTCCCGGCCGCACCCGCTCGTGCCGCCGCCGCTCAGACTGGGTCCGAGGCCGTGGAGACAATGCGGCCGGGCTGAGAGTGTCGGCCCCTACTTGATGGTGCCCCGGTTCGCCCAGCCCCCTCCTTGGTGGCCCGGCTCCCGGCCGGGAAAGGGGCGCCCCCTCGTTCTCGCGGCCGGTGTAGGAAGTCGGTCCGCGGCCGCGGAGCCCGACAACTTGCGAGCCGGGAAAAGTTTGCGGCCCCTCCGCGGGGTGGCGCGGCCCGCCCCTGGCATCCGCGGTCACCGCCGGTGACTTTCTGGACTCGTCGTCGGCCAGGACGGCGGCGTGGACAGCGGGGACTGCGGGGAGGGCCAGAGTCCGTCCGAGGGCTCCGGCTCCTGGGGCTGCGGGTGAGTTGGCTTTGGGCGCGACGGGCTAAAACGGTTTGGGGCGCCTGGGTTTGGGGAGAAGGTGTGGAGAGAGCGTTTAGTACTTTTTAGAGCAGGCGGGGAGAACAAATAACAGTGCGAGGGCTTAAGAGGCGCTGACATGCGGCTGACTCGTGAACCGTATCCGTGGGAACCCTTCTGGAGCCGGGCCACGGAGGGCCTGTGAGGGAGGGAGGGGGTGGGGGTGGAAAAATTAGAAGGTCGCGCACCATCTCTGCCTGTCACTAAGTGGCTCTGTATGACCTTGGACAAGAGACTTAACTATTTAGATCACCTCATGGGTGATACAGGAGGCTAGAGCTACAGCAGCTACATGTCTTGCGTTTTTAAAAATATATCTCGGTTCGAGATTTCCTTGGGCCTCAACGTGGTACAGGAGTTGTGAAGCGGTAGGCCAGGATAGATTTACCTGCGCCCGGATTCACCTTTCATTCTACTAAGAAGTAACTTTTAAGTCTAATATTTTAAAACAGTAATATTTCAAGTTTTTTTCAGTGAAAAAAGTAAATTACCCATTACTTGTTTAAAAAACCCCTCTCAAGACTGTCTACGTTGATGAACCACTTAAAGCTCACAGGACTGGGGCTGGGAACAGAAAACCAAGCTTGAGGGTGAAATGGCAGGTACCCTGAGCTATCCCTTCGACCCTTTGGATTCAGTTTAGGGGGAGAATAAAACTTTTATTATACATGGAAGAGGGTAAACGCGGCAGGTGTTTTTTCCTTGTTTTTATGTATTGCTTCTTTCTACTGAAAACTTTTGTGGGGGCCAATGGGGGCTCTGACTTCTGACAAAGAAGGAAAAGAAAATGTCACTTATAATCAAAGTTAATCTTAAACTAAAGTAAATATTTTTTACAGAAACAGTAACACATAATGCAAGTACGTCTTGATCTAATTTTAATGAAGGGTTGAAAATAGCTTCTGTGTTCAGTATCACTGACGCCAAGATGGCTCACTTACATAATCTTTGTTGGGGATGTGTTAGTGGCATGTATAATTTTGATAAATTAATTATGTTAAAGCTTTGGTCTGGTAATAATATTGAAATACTGTCATCACAGGTTGTGTTGCAATACAATGGAGTGTTAACTTTTGGTTATTATGATAACCTGCATTTTTTCCATAAAAAGTGAAATCAAACATTTTTTCTAAGCACAGTTTTCTCAAATATTAAATATCTACTGGTCAGTACTAAATACAAACAAAACTTTTTGTTCTCTCAATGATGAGTTTCCCCAGTTTCCTCACCATTCATGAGAGTGCCTTCTAAGTGTCAGATGCTTCACTGGCATTTTGCCTTCTCATGGAGCTTATAACAACAAAAGCTGGTTTAAAAATATACATATATATGAGCATAAATATAAATACTCAACAAATATTTGCTGGATAAAATACCTGGTGCTCAGATAGTAATTTAAAAAATTTTTGCCCAACCTTAAAGAGAATTATTATCATGCTTTAGGGGCAAGAAAGAGGGTATCATAGAAAGTACTGGGTGGGGGGAGTGAGCTTAATTCTAGTATCTAATCTGAAATTTTATAGCTTAAAGTAAGGATTCAGATTTTGAAAGAGACAAAGACAATTGATAGGCGTTTCTGGGAAAAAGATAGCAATATTGATTTAACATAATACCTTTTATGACCTAGCTTTCTTTGAAGAACAAACCTTTGAAAAGGTATGTTCCTTAAATAATCAGTAGCTGTTTGCATTCTGATTGAACATCTAATTAAATGGTCTAATCATACCGTAATATTTCACCCGAGTGCTGTCTGATTTTTAAACTCATTTTTAAAATAGCATGAAATAAGCCTTTCAGTGTAGTTGCATGAAGGAAATCTTTGAAATCAACTAAATCTGCAGGGGGAAAATTATCTCCAATCTTACACCAAATATAAAATAAGCACTGGAAATAAAATCTTGCCAAGAAGGTCTTCACTCTAGACAAGCACTCTGTGTGAAGAGATCCTATGTGGACTGCATCATTCATGAGATATTTTCTTTTTCCCAAGGGACCTCTCTATTTGGTGATATCAGGAAAATAAGTCCCCAACATTTGTAAGCCTGGAAACTTCTGGAAAGCCTAGTGGCCTTATTTAAAAGTGACCACTCAATCCAGAGCCTGGCATTGATATTTGAACATACTGTCTTTGTGGAATGTGTTTCTCTCAGAGCAGGTTTCTGGTTGGACAGCCTTGTGGGGGCTTAATGTACCTGCGAGTGTGGTTCTTAGGCCACCTGTGTCAGAATCTTCTGTACGACTTGGAAAACTTCAGACTCTTGGGCACCTTCCTATACTTAAAGAATTAGAATTTCTGTTAGCAGAATCTAAAACCTGTATTCTTAACAAAGCTTTACCAAATTACACTAAATTTTGAAAAATAGCGTTAGAGTTTTCTTGCCAGTGTTTAGCGGTAGCTGTTGCTTTCATCTAGGAGCATTAAAAAAGCATCCTGACAAGCTTACTGTTCTGATCACTTCCCCACCAGCACCAGACATGTTGGCTTTATCTGTTAGCTGGCCTTGTAGCCAGGGACCCTCTCATGAACTGCTTCTGCAAGCAAACCATCACACCACCTACAAAGTTAAGGCTGCTTTGGGGCACAAGACTCAAGAGGCCCCTCCTACTATGGGATCCTCTCATCACCACCCCTAGCCTGTGTGTGATTTGTGGGAGTGGCGATCCCAGTCATCTGCTTGTTTTCTACTAGGGCTATAAGGTTTCAAGCAAATAATTGGGAATTGATCCCAAGGGACAAAAGACCTGAGAGAGACAGAATAAGAAGTCTGAATTTAAAGCTATCCCTTCAACACAGTTCAACACTCACACTTGAATATTTCAGTCCTAAATCAGATAATTTGGTAGACCAGTATGTGCCTAAACCCTGACCCCTAGCCCTGTGTTGTTAAAACAGACCCATATAATGGGTCCTGCAATGTCTCTCTATATGTATAAAATCCCTGACATACAAGTGAAGACTTTCATGTTTATTGAAATAAAAAGGAAGAGTTAGGGAGAGAGATTCAAAGCAAAGACTGAGGGGTCGACCACCCGTGATTTAAAGCCTAGCTTTGCCATTTACTACCTACGTGACCTTGAGCTGCATCCCTGACCCTCTAAGCTTTCAACCTTACTTGAAAAATGAGGATAACAGTACCTGCCTCATAGGAGTTGTTTTGGTAATTATGTAAAGTTATTAGTTATGTAAGACACAAATTAGTGACAGGTAATAACTGTCACTCAGTATATACTCCATACATGTGGCTTTTAATTTATTATAGTAACTTTTAAAATTTTCTTTTTTAGCCCTGGAGAGTTGCTGTAGAAGAGGGACAAGAGAGGAAGACAACACAGGAGGAGATAAGTAGCTCTGGACACAAGGGAAGGTCACACCACTAAATAGCAATTGCTGAGCAGAGGGAAAGGGACAAGAGAAGAATGTAGACTGCAGTGCCAGTTAATAACCTGGGCTTCTTCCTGTGTTGCCCAGGCTCAGGTGCTGCCTCCTCTCCCCCTCACTTTCATACCACCTTGTTTAGCACTGTATATACTTTTTTGACTTACTCTGAGAGATACTATGTGGTCAGCCTCAAACTATTAATCCTGGTTTTGTATTTTAGTATCAGTAATCCTCAACCTTTCAGGGGCTTGGGATGGAAGCTTTCTCTTGGGAATCTTAAATTTTATAATTATTCAAAGGAAGAGTTTTCTAGCTTAACCCCTTAGGAATACATCCAGAATTCAACTGCAAATTTGCCTTTTCAGAGAAGTATATGCCATCAAGATATGGGGACATGATCAGAGAGACTCTTGCCCCTGACTTTTAAAAACGCTTTTACTTTCTAGAGCTCTTACACTTTCTTCACATCAGCTCACATTTTCCTTATACTAACCCTGTAAAATATGATTAACATTACTAGACCCCTATGAGGCACCACAGATGTTTCTCTTTTCACACCTCCATTCTGTCTTGCAAACTTATTGCTGTGCTAGTCTTTGCTATCTGCACATTAGCTTTCCAAAATAAAAATTTTTTATTTAGTTTCTGTTTGTCCCCCAGTTAATGAACCTCCTATGCCTCGCTTATACAGTGATCTTGGAACCAGGTTGTTAGGTTCTCTGAAAGCTTTCTCTCAATAGTCCATGGAACATGGGCAGCTCACTCACTACAGTGCTTTAGCCCATACTGCTTCCCTCATTCATGATGCTTCCTCTCAGACTACCCAGATTCTATCCATTCTTCAATTTCTATCTCCTCCTTGAAGCCTTCCTAGGTCATTTACACCTTAAAAGTTCTAATCTTCCTCTGACATCCAATGGTAGCCACACCTATTTTGTTAATTATAATCTGGTCTTAAAAGTCCTAATGAAGGGAAAGTATGTGATAGATTTGGTATAGGGAGAAAAACACTAAGCTAATTAAGTTTTAAAGGTTGAGGTCTGCTAAGTAGCTCTGAGAGCTAATCCAGGTTGCTCTACCTTAGTTCTACATTTCTCAAGCTGTGATTGTGGAGAGGTTTGGGCCAGGTGATGTTGATGGTTCTCATTGTGAGGTTCTAGGACAACTTGGCTTTCCTTATGTGGCATGGGATTAAGGCTTTTACTGCATTCTTGAATGAAAAATGCCAGGAATGGGCACTCAGTGCTTTTAAGACTTGGTCTATCCCACAGATTGCTAATGTTAAACTTGTCAGTTTTTGAATGCCATGTACCTTTTTTGGTAATCTTTTTAAGCACCATCATTCAAGAAAGGTTAGTAGGGGATGTATTAAGTAGTTGGATAATGAATGTATTAGGGACAATAAAGGGTTGTCTTTGTAAATGACTTTTTATGATAGAATAAATAAGGTCAGCTAATTGGATAAACCTTAGTCTTAACATTTACAATGTAGTTTGCATTTCAACTTCAGTGGATATGGCTATATAATAAATAAGTATATTTTCTTCATAATTATTTTATAACTTGAAATACATTTAAATGGTCACAACTCTAGGGTAGATGCTAGAGGCCTTTGTATAGTAATCTGACTGGTGACATGTTGTGTGTACATATATCACGTGCATATTACCCTTGAATTAAGATGGGTACGCCTAAGGTATTATGTGCTATTATACATTGACTATTCTTAAGAAGAATATGTCTTTAAGGTGTGTTGACATTTAATTGACCTTTGCAAGTTCATTCTGTTAATCATACTCAAAGTGCTAACGCTATGGTTGACTGCTCTGGTGTTTTTACATTCAGTCGTGCCTAGCATATAAATTCTTCAGCATAATTGCTACTTATTTAGCCAGAGTTTCCTTTCTTCTCTGAAAATCTGAGTTGTGTTTTATTTTTCTGTCTTTTTAAAAAAAATTTGCCTCAGGCTGCATAGTACGAGAGGTTTGAATTGAAATGTTTTCCTGTCATTAGTTGTGTGGGGTGTGGTTTCTTAATATAAGAGCAATGGAAATTTTTTGCTTAGTTAAAGTGTACTTTTCTTCTGGCAGCAGTCAGAACTTTTCAAGGTGTAATGCTAATATTTAAAGAAGCTTAACCCTTCGATACTACATATTTTTAACATAAACTTTTAGAAATCTTTCAATTCTTTTTGTATAGATTAAAACTATCGTGCTATTACTTTTATTAAACAAAGACTCAGTGGGTCTATTTTCATAGCAAACTAATTATATTCCTTGAATTTCTGTGAGTGGAATTTTATTATAAATGATGTATTTGTTTTTAAAAAGTCAAATATATTTATTTTTCATAGTTACTATCACCTAGAGAACATTTGCTGAAATGTTAAAAATTTTCTGAGTATTAAATTTATATAATCAGTCTATGGAAATAATTTTAATATGGTTAGCTGTCTTACAGATTTCTGAATTAGAAATCTGTAAGACAGCTAATCATATTTTTGCTGACTGTTGATAGAATATTAAAAACTTGTAATTACTAATTTTGGGTAATTTATCTTTGAGATTCCAGACATGGTTTTTTAAAAATATTTTTGTCCTAAGGGAAATTTTTAAATAGGGAAGATAAACTTTACAATGGAATTGTTATTTTCATGTAGTAATTTTTCACTTTTCAATATGTAACTCTATATTTGAGATGCATCTTGTTCCCTGTTTATAAGTTTTGATGTCACTTTATCATTTTTGTATTCACACATGACAAGCATAACAGATAGTCTCATTTCATGACACTGACTTTCTCATCATTGTCTCTCCTTCCATATTGTGGTCTCTTTTCTTTTGCCTTTTTCTGTTCACAATTTTACAAATTACAGCTATCTTTTTTTCATGCCATTATGGCCCCACCTCCAAAGAAAAATGAGTCCTTTTCCCTTAGTCCAAACATTTAAGTTCAAACTCCGTCCTTTTTTAGATTATACAATGAAGCTTCAAATAATACGTAAATAGTGCAAATGACTTCAATGCTGAGTAGTCAGATACAGGATATCCCAGACTAAGGGTGAACTCTCAGACTTCCATTTTGTAAACTGTGGTTTCAGCAGATAGATTTATTTCTTCCTCGATAATTAAGTATCTCAGGACCAGGGTAGAGTGGGTTAAATAAAGAACGTTAAGCTAAAGACTGGTTTCTTGGGTAATCTCTCTTAGTAATTTGACTGGACTGATGACACATGTTTATGAAGTTAGCATATTTGCTCTTTTTTCTGTTTGAAATATGTTTTACCATCATAAATTGCTTTCTGTTATTTGAATCCGGATATATTAATTTATTTTCTTTTCATTTTATTTAACTAATTCTTATACTTTCATGTACCAAATATGTTCTAAATACTTTACAGGTATTAGTTTATTTAACTCTATAGTTATAGTTATCATTACATAGTTATAGTTATTATCATTTTGCAATTGTGAAAACTAAGGCATGCAGTTTTATTTTAGGGTAGGGCCTGAAGTGGGGGGAGAGTGAAAAGTATAGGCAGAGTGGATAACACAGTACTACTAAGGGTTAGCAAAAAGATATTCAAAAGTTTTGGGAAAATGGGTCTGTGTGGGAAGGATCAGAAACTCTGCGGAGTCCAGCCTTAAAGAGCAGCATGTCTTCTTTCCTCAGCTTTAAGCCTTGGGCTGTAGAGGCAAAGGCCTAAGGATCATTGCCTTAGATTTCAGCTGCCTGGGCAGCCTGGTGAGGTAGGCTATGATGGTTCTTTGTGATTCTCCTAGGGCTGCACAAACGAACACCTTATCTCCTAACATTTCTCAGGATTCAAGCTTCTTTTCCCCTCAAGGGTTTAGCTTCTCTCTCTCTGCTGGAAGCTTGGATTGCAAATACCAGTAGAGAATGTTTTTTCCCAGTTTTAACCTCAGCCCACTTCATCCTTTCTTCTTGCCCTAGTTTGTGTATTACTTTGAAAATATTATTCAGTGGTGTTTATGTTTGAGTGTTGTATAAAGTTTAGAGGCTAATGTTAAGAAATGAGATTAAAGGACAAAACTATCATTTCTGTTGGAATGAGGAAGAAGATGAGAGAGAACAGCTGAAAGGAGGAAGTGTGGAGAAAGGAGAGACATTATAAAAAAGAAGAGATTTCATGAGGGTAAAAAAGATGACAAAAAATGTAAAAACATAATTACTGATTCCCTTTGCATGCACAGCTCCCCCCCAACTTCGCAGTAACAGAGACAACTTCACTTTCTTTTCCTGACATGAGGTTCACCAGGGAATTATGCGCTGTGGGAGTGGAAAATTTCTCCCTTTTGCATTTTGAAACTTGGGTGTGCTGCTTTAAGATGCCACTGGTATCTAAGTAATATTTGTTTATACTGGATATTTTTCTCTGTAGCTTTTGTGGATGGGGTTTAGAATACAAACAATACTGTTAGCAGAACTGCAGGTACTTGATGGCTATGTTTATTTTACTAGTTAAAAAACTTCCAGAGTCCTAGGACTTCTGAGTACATTAAAAAATACCACAGACAATTTTAAGAAGAGCCTTAGAAAGAAAGAAAAAATAAGAAAAGTTAGACTGTCAGGCTCTGGAATGCCAGCTGATGTGTTTGGGGTTTTTGTTTTGTTTTGTTTTGTTTTGTTTTGTTTAATTAGTGTTTTCACTAAATTAGTGTAGTTTCATCGATTTTTTAAATTTTTTATTGAATTATTGGGGTGACATTGGTTGATCAAATTATATAGGTTTTAGGTGTATGGTTCTATAATATATCATCTGTATGTTGTATTGTGTGTTCACCACCCTAAGTCAAGTCTCCTTCCATCACCATTTGTCCCCCCTTTCCCTCTGGTAATCACCACACTATTGTCCGTGTCTGTGAGTTTTTTTTCCTTTGTTTAATCCCTTCACTTTTTTCACCCAGTCCCCCAAGCCACCTCCCTCTGACAGCTGTCAGTCTGTTCTCTGTATCTATTTTGTTTATTTTGTTCATTAGAGTCTACATATAAGTGAAATCATATAGCACTTGTCTTTCTCTAGCTGGCTTATTTCACTTAGCATTATACTCCCCAGGTCCATCCATGCTGTCACAAAGGTAAGATTTCCTTCTTTTTTTTTTACAGCTGCGTAGTAGTATTCTACTGTGTGAATGTACCACAGCTTTTTGGACTACCCATCTCCTGATGGGCACTTGGGCTGCAAATCTTGGCAATTGTAAATAACTCCGCAGTGAACATAGGGGTGCATGTATTCTTTTGAATTAGTGTTTCAGCTTTCTTTGGCTATAGTCCCAGCAGTGGAAACTCTGGCTCATAAGGCAGTTCCATTTTTTAATTTTTGTGGCAACTCCATACTGCTTTCCACAGTGGCTGTACCAGTCTGCATTCCTACCAACAGTGCACTAGGGTTCCCTTTTTTCCACATTGTTTCCCACACTTGTTTGTTGATTTTATTGATGATAGCCATTCTGACAGGTGTGAGGTCATCAATTATTTTTTAAAATGGGTTTAAAGTACTCTTCTTGTATACAAATTCTCTTTTCTTAATAGATAGTTTAGGTAAAATAAAAGTGTGGCACTTTCATTCCATAGAATATAAAACTATGGTTAATTTTTTAGGGAGTTTAGGGTTTTTTGGATATTCCCTAAATCATGTATAATGACTTTTCTTGATCAGATCACTAGTCTGAAAGTATTTTCTACTGATTTATGATTTTATTGGGATAGAGTCATTTAAATCATGATGCTTCTGGAACATCCAAAATAATGTGGTCAATTCTACCAACTTTCTGGTAATTCATTTTAGGGTCCCCTGAAGTTTCTCTCTTTATCTATTCTCTAACTCTGTAGAAAGGTACATTATTTAGTAGCATTTATGAAAAATACTTGGTTTAAGTCACAAATGTTGAGCTAATCTAAATGATAAAATAACGATTTGAAGAAATTAATTTATTTTTAAATTGTTATTCATTTTCCAGGTAGAGGGGCCTAGTATTAACAGGTTTGACTAGATCCCCACCAGTCAAACAAAGAGCAGACTGAAGATGTTTTTTCTTGATCATTCTATGGTGATAGCATACCATCCTACCATTTCAAGAATCACTAATAAATAACCCTTAGGGAATAGCAAGGGGAAAAGAAGGTTTTTTCTTTCTCATTGGTTCTTTTTTCATTTATCCATTTTTTTCTCCACTTGTCCAGCCTTTCCTATAATCACAGACATTTTTTGTTTCCTGCACTGTTCACCAGATATTCCCTATTTGTACATCCTAGATTACCACCACCCCGAGGTTTCTTAGGCAGAAATAGAACCTGGATCTTTAGAAGCTATTGGAAATCATCCTGTGCTTTTCAGACTGTCTTCCCTGGAGGAAAGAGTAGCAAAGCAGTAGTGGGTGGTTTGTCACTGTCGCTTCTGTGGCTGCCCTGATTGGTTGACCTAAGCTTTTTTACCTCCATTCTAATGCCTAAATCTACGAACAAAATTAGGGCCAGTCACACTGTTTCCATCATCAGTTATCCCCAGTGGTTCAAATTTAGTACAAACCTGCTGTTGAGTATATATTAATTAGGTGAATATAATAGAATGAAATCATAGTGTGACTTTTTTAATAACTATTATTTGAAATGTGGGTTTTGTTTCTGAGTTTACACTTACTTTGTTGAAAACCTAGAAATATCATCACACAAACAACCAAGCTGCTGATTTCCCAAAACAGTGTAAGCCAATCATTAACTTATAAACTCTGCTGAAAGTGTTTGGTTTTGAGATGCAGTGGGCTGTATCAAGTTAAGTTGCCCTTTCTCTATATGGAATGATGTAGAGGTCTTACAACCTGATTTCAAGGTTCAACTCTAAATAAGAATTTTTTTGTCCCCATTTTCTGTGTGCTATGTCGCTGCTTGCCATAAGTATAAGGTATATGAGCCTCCTTTGCTACTTAAAATCCAATTTCCATGTCAGATGGTATTGGAGATAATTAAGTTCTATTGAAAGTTTCATAAGCCAGCAACTAACTACTGTGTCCATAAATATGTTACCAAACTATCTTATGGTCCTGCTTTAAAAAAAAATGTGTGGGTGTGGGAAGTGATGGTGAATGAAGCAGGATAATTGGTGCTTCTTTGTGTTAAGAAAAAATGCTCTAGTGAGGGATGACTGCATCTGTGATTTTTATATGATTAATTTTTAAAAAATTCTTCCAACCATCTCCCACTCCAGTTCCCACCTCCTTCCTCATAAATTCAAGCAATTGAAGGAATTAGAGTCATAGGATTTTATAGCTGGAAGGATTTTAAAGAGAATCTGATTAACCCTCTTATTACAGTTGAGGAAATTGATGTCCGG